ACAGTGTACAGGACACCACAGAGAATCATCTGGCCCCAAAATGACAACAGTGCTGAAGCTGAGAAACCATGGTGTAGTGATACTGTACTTTTTCATGGTTCACCAAGACATTGTAACTTTTATACCAATATGACTGTATTTATGTTTTTTCTCATACCCATGTTATCTTTCATCATTCCTATATCTGGCAAATTTACGCCCACCTTTCAAAGAGCTGACCCACTTTTTTTCATCCCCAATATCACATTCTGCAGAGTTTTTGTGAACCCTTATAGTCAGAGAATCACTCCCTCCCCTGGGCTCTAAACCTAGATTGTATTTATCACTGAATCATAACAATCACTTGAGACTATGAGTTCCTGGAGATTTTGTGAAGGTATCCCCATCACCTAGAAAACATGCAGTCAATAAAAGTTTCCTAAATCATTTAAAAAAAAAACAACTATTACCGACATTGCTAGAATCTAGTTCCAATTTTTCTAGAGACCAATCTAGTAATAAATAGCACAAACTATAAAATTATTTCTATCTTTTGGCCCAGTAATTTCATTTTTAGCAATAGCTAGACAAAAAGAAAATTTTTTTTAAAAGAACAGAAGTGTTTACAGACCTGATAATTTATTCATTTATCAGTAAAAACAAGACTCTGTTGAATAAGGTTGAACAGGAGGCCTCATTAATATCCCAGCTCTTCAGTGTTGAGGGGCCAGTGGCTGAAATACGCCTTAGCTAGTTACTGATCAGGACAGAGAACCAGACTTAGAAAGACCTCATTTACTATTAATCTGGCTATAGCCTTTGTATGATAACACCCCCAATAAGAAGGGGCATCTGCTTTAAAGTTATCACTATTTATAATAATAAAAAATTAATTAAATGCTCAACAAAGAAAATGTTTACGCAACTCTGGCAAAGATGTATGATGGAAACTTTGTGAATATTTTAAATCACTAATAATTAGACAGTTAATAAATGGAAATATTTATATGGAATAAAGTTGTGTAAAACGAGTACAAAAAACATTTGTTAAGTATAGATTATAATATATTAAAATACACATACATTTAATGTCATCAGAGAATAAGGTATGTTGAAATATTCTATATGTCGTTAGGTTGTTTCTATTTTTGTAAAATTACTTGAAGTTTATAAAAAGCAACACTTAGAAGTTTTAGCACTTACCAATCAGTGACTCTGGATGACATACATTACAGGTATTTAAGATAAAGTTTAGAAACTGAATCACTGTTTTTTAAATCATGCAATAGATATCCTGTATGTATCATGCAATATGATACCCTATTAACTGAATGTTGATATACCCACTATAGGAGCCAAAGAAATAAACTGTTATCTGTTTGCAGTAGGCAGAATTCTAAGATGACCTTCATTGTCCCTCACCCTTATATGATTCCCTCCTTCTAAGTGTGGGTGAGATCTGTGCATATAACTGGGCATCACTCCCATGGTTATGTTACGTTATATGACAAAAAGGATCTTGTAGGTGTAATTAAGGTCCCTAAGCAGTTCACTTTAAGGGTCCCTCTACAGGGATGCTACGAGTCAGAACCAACTTGATGGCACCTAACAACAACAACAACAAGCAGTTCACTTTAAGTTAATCAAAAGAGAGATTATCTGGGGGTGGGCCTGACCTAATTGGGTGAGCTCTTAAAACAAGTCAGAGAAATTCAAAAGTAGCAGAGGTTTTCCTTTTCACTTTGAAGGAGTAAATTGCTATGCTATGAGAGAAGGGGACCAAGTAGCAAAACTTGAGGAGAGCATGCAGAAGCTGAAAACTGTCTCCGGCTGACAGCTAACTAGAAAACAGGACTTCAGTTATATAGCTGCAAGAAAATAAATTCTGCCAACAACCAAAGAACTTGAAAGAGCGCCCCTAACATCACAAGACTGCAACTTCGGCCTACTGAGACTCTGAGCAGAGGACCCAGATAACCCATACATGGACTCCTGACCCACAGAAACTGTGAGCTTTTAAAAAAATGTGGTTTTTAAGCTGCTAACTTTTGTGGTAATTTGTTATACAGTAGTAGAAAACTATATGCTTGTTTATAGGAACTTGACTTAGTTTTCAATGACAAATTTTATTCATTCAACAAATATTTCATTTACAAATATTTACTGATCTTCTACCATTTGTCAAGCATTGTACCAAGTGTGATATAACATTTTATGATAAACAAATCCAAATGATTTTCATTTTAACAAAATAATGAGCTATATATGTGTATAAAATCTTACATCTAGGAGAAAATGTATAGCTTAAATGTTACAAGAACATTAAAAAAAACAAAAACATAATGGTCAGATCTATTATCCATTCAGCCTAGTATTTTGTCTTTGAAGGTGGCTCCAAATAACATTTTATAGGATAGGATGCTTATCCTACACCAGACTTTGGAAGTACTAGCTTCCCTTAATATTCTACTATTATTCTGACATTCATGAATTAATCACCTATTTCCATAGTTGACCTATTTGTATTTTTAGTTTATATCACTTAGAAGGGTATCGAGATCCATCAACTTATAAAGATAGTGTATTCTGTAATCTTTCCTAAACAATCACTTTTAGTCTTTATGAAATACCCATCTTTCTATAGATTTATCTACCATTCACCCAATAAATGTAAATGGGCTAAACTCTCCATTTAAAAGGCCAAGATTTCAGACTGGATATATATTTTTGATAATACAACTATATGTAGTTTGCAATAGACACACATAAGCATACGGATGCAGAAAAATTAAAATTCACCGGTGGAAAACAATATAACAGCCATTTCAAACTAAAAGAAAGCTAGTGTAGCCATACAATATCAAACAACAAAGACAAAGCCAAAAAGGGTGATTTGCTAAGTACCTAAAACAATTCTATATGTGTATGTACATAACAAATTCTCTAAATACACAAAACAAAAATTGACAGAATAAAAGACAAATAAACAAATCTACCATCATAGCATCAGTTTTAAGTTACTGACAAATCAAACAGATTAAAGTCAGAAAGAATACAGAAGACTTCAAGAGTTTAAAATCTTAATCTAATGGACAGGCATACAGACTACAATACATAAGATAATGGGATACACCCAGAATAATAAATTTCTTTCATGTGCTAGGTCACAAAGCTAGTCCTACAAGTTTCACACATTTTTTTTTTCATGCAAACCACAATTTCTAACCACAATGCAATTGAGTTAAAAAATCATTTAACTCTCACACAACTTTTCCAGAAAACAAAAGAGGGAATGTGCCCCACTTCATTTTATAAGGCTAGTATATAACCTTGACTCCGAATCCAGAAAAAAGATGGTATGAGAAAGGAAAAGTGCAAAACAATCTTATTTGAACTTAGGCTCAAAAATCCTGAAACAAATATTAGCAAACCAAATCCAGCATTATATAAAAAAAGATAGTACATCACGACTAATTTGAACTTATTCTAGAAATTCAGGTTAACATTAGAAAATCGATTAATGTATGATACCAGATGAACAAATTAAAGAAAAAAAATCTCAAATAGATGCAGAAAAATAAACATTATGATTTTTTTTTCTAGTTAGGAAATTAGGATTAAAGAGAATTTTCTAAGCTTGATAAAGGGCATTTTTAAAACAAAACAAAATTCTACTGAAGCTTTGTAATTAATGGTGAAATGTTGAAATTCTTCCCTTTAAGAATGTTTTTTTTTAACTCTGGAGGTTCTAGTCAGCAAAATAGGACAAGAAAAAGAATGCCCAAGGCTGAAGGAAAGAGGTACATACTATAAAACGAGCATTCAGATTCTTAGGGAGCCATTCTAAAGGGGTACCAAACATTATCAGAGTGCTAAAAGATAACTGAAAATGTAGTCAGAAAAAAAAAAAATTACATATTTATTAGAATTCTTCTCAGTCAGAGTACAGTATGTTGGTTGGAGGAATACATGGATAAACCATTTGGAATTGAGAATGGAACCCTGGAGGGCCTGCAGGAGAAACAGTCACTCAACTGCCTTCTAATGGGAGTGGGATACATAACGCAAGGATCCTGTTTTGCTGAGAGAGGTGTGCAAATTTAGAGCCAGTGCTGAATTATCTTGGACAACAGAAGAAAGGCTGAGTTAATACCAGTAACAATCTTTCTTTTCTATCATTCCCACACGTAGTACTTGGTATTATCTCTGAATAAGTGTTGAAAAATAATTAAAGAATACTGATGTAAATTATTAGCCTGCCCAGGGGCACTCATGTGTTTTGGTGTGGTTTCCTGTGAGCAGAAGCGGAGTGGTGAGGAAGCAGGACTTAAAGGCTCTTGGGAAAGATGAAGTTGCTGAGATAGGAACAGCTGACAAGATGAGACGTGTCAAGACAAGAACTATGTTTTAGGAAGATCACTCCACAAGTCACATGAAAGATGAATTAGAATGGAAGGAAAAGAGGACAGTTGGGAGGCTGTTCTGGGGCACAGACTAAACAATGGCAAAAAAGAAAAGGGGACAGAACAAACAAAATTATGATTTTAAAATATTTTTACATTTATTTTATTCACAACTTTTGTTAATTTATAACATTTTTATTATATTCTATTCTTAGGCCTTTCTTTTCCAGGCTAAACAATATTATTTTCATAACAATTTAAAAATTATTTTTGATGTCACTATCTAGGACTTGTAAAATTTCTTTTTTTTTTTTTCAACTGAGATACAGTATAGAGAATACTAAGCCATATTCTACAAAAGGGTAAAGAATTTTTTTCTGGTTCCTTTCTTATAAGGTGGTATTCTCATTTGTTTTGCCTTTCCCCACAAGAGCACACTGGTCTGTTTTGTTGGGCCATAACCATGGACAGTGCAAAATTCAGCATCAATTAAAGCATTTTAGATTATTTTTACTTTAAATGTTACCTTCACTGAGGCTCACCTACCTATACATTGTCACCAGAATAAAATATTATCATTAATGTGTAACATAGGTGATAGGCCAAAAGGATTCTTGCCTCTTGATTGGCTGTATTCAGCTTGTCTTCCAGTTCTTCCTTCAGGTTTTCTAGCTCTTGTTGAAGCTGATTTTTATCTTCTTCCAGGTTTAGTTTCTCCTTTTCATGTTGTTCCTCCAATTCCTTAGAAAATGAAATTTTTGAAAATTACACAACTGAAATATCACATACTTGGGAGACTCCAAGAAAAAGAAAAAGATTACTCTGCTTTATACTTTGATACTTTGCTCTTCAAATTGGCCCTACCCTGATTTAATAATATCAAAGTTAACAGTGATCCTAATTAGTCCTAATAGCTGTGATTCCATCATCCTGAATCACTTATAGTGGTTAACCAATATTTTTAAATGATGAGAATATTTTACTAGTCTAGACAATCTATAGTCAAAAAACAGAAATCTGCAATATAAATAATTTGGTGAGATAAAAAAATTCTAACTACCTCTTGAATTCAGAATTCTTTTTTATTTACATAAAAAAATAAAATCCAGTAACACTTCTGAAACTCAGTGGCCTAAGCACTGGAACACAGTAGAGAATAAGTATTATGGGTTGAATCGTGTCCCCCCCAAAATGTGTTTTAAATCCTAAACCCTGTACTTGTTGGTCATAATCTCACTTGGGAATGGATTTTCTTTGTTATCTTAATGAGGCAATATTAGCGCAAGTGTGTCTTAAATCAATCTCTTTCAAGATATAAAAGAGCAGATTAGGCACAGAGAAGCAAGCAGAGATGGGGGAAGATAGATGCCAGGCCACAAGAAGATCACCAAGTAACTGAGGAGCAGAAGCTGAAAAGAGACAAGAACCTTCCTCCAAAGCCAACAGAGAAAGCATTCCCCTAGAACTAGCACCCTAAATTCGGACTTCTAACCTCCTAAACTGTGAGAAAATAAATTTCTGTTTGTTAAAGCCACCAACTTGTGGTATTTCTGTTAAAGCAGCACTAGATAACTAAGACAAAACTTGGTAGCAAGGAGTAGGGTGCTGCTCCAACAAATACCTAAACTGTGGAAGTAGTTTTACAATTCGATAATTGGGTAGAGGCTGGAGGAATTTTGATGTGCTTCATAGTAAGGCCCTATTTTGCCTTGAAGAGACTGTTGGTAGAATTATGGCCATCAAAGACAATTCTGATGAGGGCTCAGAAAGAACTGGGAGCTGTGATGACTGCTTCTATCATGAACAGAACGTTGCTAGAAATGGAAATGTGGACATTAAATGTGAGACTTTAAAAAGGAAATGATGAAAAAATGATTGAACATTGGAAGGAAGCAGTGCTGTTTATGCAGTGGCAAAGAACTTGTCTGAATTATGTTAAAATGTTTGGGGGAAGGTAGAACTTGAAAGTGATGAACTTGGGCATTTGGCTGAGATTTCTAAGCAAGATCTTAAGGGGCAGCGTGGTTTCTCTTTTCTGCTTACAGTAGAATGCGCAAGGAAAGAGCTTTAGAAATGAACTATGCAAAATGAAACGAGGACTTAAAGATTTAGAAAATTCTGTTATACAATCTAAGGACATGTGCCCTAAAACTCCCACAAGGGCTTGGTGACTCAATCTTTTGTTAAAGAGATTAAGTCTGTGACTAATGGATTCATTCAACCACTAAAGCAAAAATCCTGTCAGCTGAAAGGGAAAGAGACAGTACAAAATGAAGGAAAGCTGCCTGCCTCCTGGAATTCTACAGGCAGGAAATGGGCCAATGGAGTGACTTGGTTCCAAACATCTTTTGACCTCCAAGAAAGAAAAGAACCACCACTGGAGCAGTTCAGAGATCAGCAGAACTGTTCGAAGGAGCACGGGAAGCAGGGCTGCCTTGGTTTCAGAGGGTGGAGCCATGGCCTCTTGGGTTTCAAAGAGTCATATCTCCACTAACTAGATTCCAAAGTGTGAGGCTGCCGTTCAGGTGGGCCAAGAGGATCGGGCCATTGCCCAAAGCTGAGACGGCAGGGCTGCCATACCCAAGAAGTAGGAGAACTGAGCCTTCCAGGGCTGAGCAGGCAGGGTCGTCACTCAGATGGACTAGGAGAATGGGGCCACCCAAAGCCAAGGGAGCAGACTTGTCAGCCCAGTGGGCCTGGAAGGCAGGGCTGAAACCCAGGGCCAAGGGGCCTCTACGCAGAATCCAGAGAGCATGGCCAACTTCCTGAGTCTGTAGGGCAGGGCTATTGCCCAGATGGTTCTGGACAACAGAGGACTATTTCCAAGCCTTGTGAGCTAATGTAATTTGTTCTGCTGGATTTTGGACTTGCTTGGTACCCGTTAATCCTTCTTTCTCTCCAATTTCTCCCATTTGTAATAGAAATGCCTAACTTGTGCCTGTTCCACCACTGCACTTTGGAAGTAGATAACTTGTATTCTAGATGTCACGGGTTCACAGATGACAAGGAATTTTGCCCCAGGATAGAATATGCCTAAAGTCTCACCCATATTTGATTTAGATAATTCAGAAGATGAGATTTGGAGCATGCAATTGGGATGATGTGACGGGGTGAATGTGTTTTGCATGTGGAAAGGATATGAATTTTGGGGTACCAGAGGGCAGAATTTTATGGATTGAATTGTGTCCTCCAAAAATATCTAGTGGAAATCCTAACCCCTATCCCTAAAAAAACCATTGCCATTGAGTCAATTCTGACTCACAGCGACCCTACAGGACAGAGTAGAATAGCTCCATAGGGTTTCTAAGGGGTGGCTGGTGGATTCAAACTGCTGACCTTTTTGGTTTGCAGCTGAGCTCTTAACCACTGTGCCACCAGGGCTCCCTAACCTCTACACCTGTGGTTATAATCACATTTGGGAATGGGTTTTATATGTTAATGAGGCAGTATTAGTGCAGAGTGTGTCTTAAGTCAGTCTCTTCTGAGATATAAAAGAGCAGATTAGGCACAGAGAAGCAAGCAGCAATGGGGGAAGACAGATGCCAGGCCACATGAAGATCACCAAAGAAACAAGGAGCAAAAGCTGAAGAGACAAAGACCTTCCCCCAGAGCTGACGGACAGAGAAGGCCAGCATCCTGAATTAGGACTTCTAGCCTCCTAAACTATGAGAAAATAAATTTCTATTTATTAGAACCACCAACTTGTGGTATTTCTGTTATAGCAGCACTAGATAGATAGCAAGTACAAAATTAAGGCATCTGCCGAGTAAAAAAAGTAAAACTGATACTTATTGAAGAGCATCTACTATTTGCCAGGCAAATTACTTAATACCAGAACTACAAAGGTAATAAACATGGCGTTGCCTTCAATAAGCTCATGGTATCAAGTAATTAAAGAAGAGTGTGATTAAAACTAGAGGGAGTACACCAATGTTCATGGCACCACCATTCACTATAGCCAAAAGGTGGAAACAACCTAAATGCCCATCAACAGATGAATGGATAAACAAAATGTGGTACAGGCAGTCCCCAGTTTACAAACGTCTGACTTACATACAACCTGCAGTTATGAACCAACCATTGTGAAGTCTATTATTTTACAAATTTGAGGTACATACAATGGTCTATAATAACAAACAGGTGCTACTTTGAGACACACATCAAAATATTATTATTATTATTATGTTAAATATGTTTTAGTGTATCTAGCAATGTTTCTTTAATGTTTTTACACATAGAAATTGTACACTATATACTATATACTAAGACAAACATTTGACTAACTGACTTTGGATATGAACTGTACCTAACTGTTTCAAATTAAGTACAAATTCGACTTAAAGACAGATTTAGGAATGGAACTCATTTGTAATCCTGGGACTGCCTGTAACACAATGAGATACTACTCATCCAGTAGGAGAAATGAAATCTTGATACATGCTACAGTATGGATGGAGCTTGAAGACATGCTGAGCAAAATATGCCAATCACAAAAGATCAAATACTGTATGATCTTACTTATATAAAAATACAAGAAAAGACAAATGTACAGACACCCAAAGTTTATTGGTGGTTACCAGGGGCAGGAGAGAGGGGGAAAAGGAGGTTAACAGTGATGGAAAAATCACATTGATTAAGGGTGGGGTTGCACAGCCAATTATCATAATTGCTGTCAATAAGTTGTACACCTATAAAAAGCTGAATCGGTGAAAGTGTGATGTATTTATAACAATGACACACACACAAAAAAGTAGCTGCTGAGGCTGCTTATGTACAACTAAAACACCTCATGGGATTTGGTTCCTTGGTTTGGAGGTTTACGGCCATGGGACCATTTCATGGGACATCCCAGTTAATTGGCCTAATGTGTTTAGTACTTCTGTTCTATCTCCTAACTCATTGCTTAGTGCCTGAGGTCTTAAAAGCTTGCAAGCAGCTACCCAAGGTACAACAATTGGTCTCTATTTACCTGGAGCAAGAGAGGAAAAAGGAGAGTCAGGATTAGGAGGAGATATGGAATGAGAGGCTAATTGCCTTCAGGAACAACTGCCTCCTTTTTTCATGAGCCCAGAAGAACTGGATGGTGCCCAGCTACGATTACTGAACATTTTGATCAAAGATTCCACGGAAGAATTCCGATCAAAAGGGGAAAAACGCACAACAGAATTTCAAATTCACAGGGACTCCAGAATTCATGGAGCCACAGAGGGTAGATGAACCCCTGAAACTACTGCCCTGAGATAACCTTTAAACCTTAAATCAAAAATATCCCCTGATGTCTTCTTAAAACCAAACAATAGTTTAGATGAACTAGTAAAAAAAAGGTCTGCCTTGAGCATTATGCTCTTTTAAGAACTATATGGGATCAAATTGACAAAAGCAACTTGAAAGACTGGATAGGAACCTTAGAGGGCAGTGAGTTTATGTTATTGGAGGAAGAACAACTTAGAAAAGTGGGTGAGAATGTTGCACAACTCAGTGTAATCAATGTCACTAAATTGTACAGGTAGAAACTTTTGAATTGATGTATGTTTTGCTATATATATTCTCAACAACAACAAAATAAATAAAACTTAGGGAAAAAAATGTGGAATCCAGATTTTCTGGAGCCATGGAGGCTGGACAAACCTCTGAAATTACTGCCCTGAGATAATCTTCAAACTTTAAACCAAAAACATTGCTGAAGTCTTCTCAAAACTAAACAATAGTTTAGCTTAACTAGTAAAAAATGTGTTTTGAGCACTGAACTCTTTTAAGATCTATCTATATGGGATCAAACTGACAACAGCAATTCAAAAGATTAAATAGGAAACTTAGGGGGCAATAAGTTTATGTTAATGGGGAGGAACAACTCAGAAAAGGAGGGTGAGAACGGTTCCAGTACTCGAAGAACATAATCAATGACACTGAATTGCATGCAGAAATTTTGAACTGGTGTATGTCCTACTGTGTATATTCTCAACAACAACAAAAATAAAATACCATTAAAAAATGGGCTCAAACATAGCAACAATTGTGAGGATGGTGCAGGACTGGGCAGTGTTTCATTCTGTTGTATATAGGGTTGCTATGAGTTGGAACCGACTCGACAGCACCTAACAACAACAACACACACGCACAAACTAGAGGAAGTCATTGCTCAGGGAACACCAAGCTTCTGTTAAAGGTGATGGAAAAATTTAGAAACACAGAGTGATGATGGTTACACAACATGATGAATGTAATTCATGTCACTGAATTGCACATGTAAAAAGTGCTGAAATGGCAAACGTTTTGTTATCTATATTTTACCACCAAAAAAAGACTAGACATATGTGTGGAGTACAGGAATATATGGATGGGGAACTGATGAGCTCTAGCTTGGTGGGAAAACTTTTACAGAGAAAGTAATTCTTAACTATGGTTTGAAAGCATGACCAGTAAGAAAATGTAGTAGAGCAAGAGGGAAAAATAACATTCTAGGCAGAAGAAAATAAATGTGCAAAAAACCACAAAGCTACAAAAGAGCATGCTATGTTACAAGTAGTTCAATATTTCTATACTGTAAAGTGAGAAGAGTAATAAATAGGGTACTGTGTCAGAGGTCCCCAAGACTACCCCCCGTTTCAGTGATTCGCTAGGAAGACTCACAGGACTCAGCACGTAGTTGTACTCATGGCTGTGATTTTTTACAGCAGGAGGATAAAAAGCACAATCAAAGAGAAAAGCCACATGTGGGGAAGCCTGCAGGAAATCAGGCACAAGCTTTCAAGCGTCCTCTCACAGGTAAACTTAATTCCTCCAACAATGAGTTATGACACCTGTGAAATGCTGTCTAGCAGGAAAGCTCATTAGAGGCTCAGTGCCCAGGTTTCTTTTATTAGGGACTGCTCGTGTAGCCACCCTCTGCCCACCATGTAACAAATTTCCAGACTCCCAGAAGGAAAGCAGGTGTTCAGCACAAACCGTATTATTTACATAAACAGTTTATGCACAGTGAGCCATTCTTATCAGGAAATAGTGGGAATGCTCCTGAAATCCAAGTTCCCAGATATTAGCCAAGGGCCAATCCTGCAAGCAGGCCTTTCTAAGGATAGCAGTTTCGGGGCTCTGTGTTAACTCTTTTCTGCACAGGTTCTCTGTATATCACTTCCTGTTGGGGTGAAGTTAGATAAAAATATAAAATTTTTTAATAACTAGTGAATAAAGAATGGAGCAGTCATCTGTAGCTAAGTGTTCTTTAAAAGATAATCTGACAGTAGAGAAAGACTATTCTGGAAGGAGGCTGGTTTTAGTTAGGCTCACACATGAACTAGATAGGCAAGAGAGAAATGAAGCAACAAGTGATAAACAAGTTATTTTTATAAAAGAGAAGGCTGCAGATAAGGCTGTCATAAGAGATTTTGACTATGTTCACATAAAGCAAGTGTCATGTCATCTGTCTTTCAGCAACCTTTTTTTTCTTTTTATTGTACTTCAGGTGAAGGTTTACAGAACAAAATAGTTTCTCATTAAACAGTACACATGTTGCCCTATGACAATGCAGCAACCATGTTTTAAAGAAAGATTGTAGGAAATGTAGGTGGCTTAAGGAAGGCTTTTAGGTGGCTCAGACATTAAGATTTAATAGGGTGAGAAAATGATTAGGAAGTAAAGAGGCAAAAATGATACTGATGAAAGATGCTTTGATAGCAGCACTGAGAACTTAAATGCACAGGAATAAAGGCTAAAGGGAGCACATCTGCAATTTAAATATTCCATTAGAGGAAGTCAAGGCTCAGGTGAAAAAAGGACTGGAAATGAAAAATAACAAAAAACAGGTATGAAAGAGATTACAGAAGCAGCAGACAGTTGCCACTAAATACCTTACCATAAAACCCTGAACACTTGATGCATACATCCAGAGTCCGTAAGTACACACACGCACACAATTAAAGCTGTACAAAATTAATCCTGTAATAGTGAACTGTCATAGAGAAAACTGCAACCACAACCCTGAGAAATAATGTATCATTAAGTTTTCTCTCTAGCTATATAAACATAAATAGTAAATTTAGATAGAAACAACATTCCAACAGAAAGTTTTATTTAACTTTTTTTTATTAAGTTCAGGTCTTAAGTATTTTTTCCAGCTAATTATGTTACAAAAGGAAAAGACATTGAAGCAAAAGATCTCAATTCACATCCCACCTCCTCTGCTTACTAGGTTTGTAGCTCTGATTAAATCATTTAGGTTTCCTAAGCCTGTCTCAGAGGAACGCTAGTAGCGCGCTGTGGTTAAGCGCTCAGCTGCCGAGGGTCGGCAGCTCAAACCCACCAGCCACTCCACTGGAGAAAGATGAGGCAGTCTGCTTCGGTAAAGGTTTACAGACTTGGAAACCCTATGGGGAGTTCTACTCTGCCCTTCAGGGTCACCATGTGTTGGAATAAACTCGACAGCAATGGATTTGGTTTGGTTACACCTATTTCATCATCTGTTTTGTTGTTAGGTGCCACTGAGTCGATTTTCAACTCATAGTGGCCCTGTCTGACAGAGTAGAACTGTCCCATAGGCTTTTCTAGGCTGTAATCTTTATGGGAGCAATTTCCAGGTCTTTCTTCCACAGAGATTCTGGGTGGGTTCAAACCACCAACCTTTCAGTTAGCATCCGAGTGCTTAACCATTGTGCAACCAGGGCTCCTCATGTATACAATAAAAATCATACTAATCTCCAAGTCGCAAGAATTAAGGAATATGTAAGAAAGTTCTTTGTAAACTATAAATCACTATTACATAAAATATAACAATCATCATTAATAAATCCCTAAATGATGTGGTGGTTAAAAACCTTGGGATTTGATATCTGGGACTTGAGCTCAAGGTTTGACTGATTCTTAACTAACTGCATATGCTTGAACAAGTTATTTAACCTCTCCCTGACTCTATCTCTTCTTCAGTAAAATGGGTATAGCAATCAAACCAATAGCAGTGTTAGGACTAAATAAAAATAAAAAAATATGTAAAATATTATTGTACCGTCTGGCACATCGTAAACAATACTGACTATCACTATGTACTAGGACAAGTCTGGACACTTAACACTTCACTTAATCCTCACAGTAATATTATAAAATGGATCTTATCTTCATCTGTCAGAGGAGGAGCCTGAGGAATAGCTTTCAGGGCCCAAGATTAACAGTTAGTAAGCAAAGAGCTCAGTGTAAGGCCCATGTCTGTTAGATGCTTTGCTTTTGCCATCTCGCCTCTCAAGTATTACTATTAGCAAGCTGATAACTTAATTGAGGAACAACAACAAAAACCTAAACCATAAATCATTTTCACAGGGAATGAAACTGTCTGCAGAAGAATCCGTGCTTCGTTTAGCTCCAGGTTTCTGAGGAGCACGCTTATTGTTGTCTCATGAAGAGACAACTCAAGATAAAGGGAGTGTTTCCATTTTGGCTTATACAAAGTAGAAACGCCTCACATCAGTTCAATAAGCTACATCCCTTATCAAGAACTTTCGTGTACATTGCTCTTTGAACATATAAAGACTACAAGACAGCAGCTCTCAAACTGAAGGAAACCAGGACTCCACACTATAGGTCACACTGGATCGTTAAAAACCCCACCAATTTACACTACAATGTTAAACTGCATTTTCACTCACCATTTGCAGTTTCTTCTTATCCTTAATTGCATTACTGTGGACAGCCTCAATTGCCATATGGTGCTTCCAAGCTAATTCTTCCAAAGTCTTAGAGTGGGCCTCATTTAATTGGGCCACCTCCTCTTCCAATCTATTTTGCAGGTTTTTAAGCTCTGTTTCATAATATTCTTGCTGAGCTTTCTTTGCTTCATTTACTTTCTAAAATTAAAATAAAGTCCAATAATTGGCACCTGCTTTTTTAATTATTGCTCTTAGTATTTTGCATATTCAGTAAACATGTTACCCTTAATGAACACAGTGCTTTGGAATCTAGCCTATGGAACATGAGAATACATCATTACTGTTCTCAGAATGTGACTGAGTGGCAAAGGCAAAACGAGTAATTTTGAAACAAGAGATAAAATAGACTGTTATAAGGTTAGAACCCAATGTGAGCACATCTGCAACCTTATGAGAGAAAGGCTTCCTATATGTCAAAGGAGTACACATAATGGCTTACCAATTTATCCACTCAAATGATATTATTCACTACAATTTACTGAGTGCCAATTTTGCTCCTTTTAAGTATTTACAGTCTAGTGATGAAAAACATAATCAAAAGACAGTTGTGAAATAGTTTCAAGTTCTAGGAAAAGGGTGTACATTGTGTGCTGTGAGAGCACACAGGAATGGAGCCAAACCTGGGGGGAGGTGTGTGTGGGTGTGTGGGGGTGTGTGGGGGTGTGTGGGTGTGTGTGGGTGTGTGTGGGTGTGTGTGGGTGTGATATCAAACTGATGATGACACAATCCCTCATTTAATTCTCACAAGTAGTCCTTAGCAAGATTAGAAACTAATGATGAGAAAATGTCAAACCTAGGTCTGCTGTCAGAAGTCTGCCTTCATAACCATTTAACTGACTGCCAGCATTCTGAAGATGAAAAATAGCTAACTCGGTGACAAAGCGTAAGGAGCTGGGTGACAGTGCATGCCAGGTAAGCAGTTTGAACAGAACATAGGATAAAAAGGCTGGGAGTGGTAAGAGATGAGGCTCAGAAGTAGGCAGGAGTCAGATGATGAGAAGGGGCCTTCCATGTCTTGCTACGGACTTTTGATTTTCTTCTGAAGGGAGTGAGAAATGACAGGAATTTAAGTGACATATTTTTTAAAACAATCATCTTGGCAGCGGGGTAGTAGGCTCACTGGAGAATAAGGAGAGCAGTTAGGAGGTTGTGGCTATAATCCAGGCAAGAAATGACAAGTGCCAAAACCCAGAACCTGTGAATGGGTAAGAAGGGGACAGGGTGGAATAAAAATACATTAAGGGAGTAGAACCAACAACAGTTGGTAACAGAAAAGAGGGAGTAAGGAAACAATAATCAAGAATGACTCTCAGGTTTCTGACTTAGCAACTAGACAGACTGTGGTGCTACTGGTTGAAATAAGAGGAAATATAGCATTTTTGAAGGGAAAGAGTCCTGGGCATGCTAATATGACACACATTGAAAAAAACATAAGTGGCACTGTCTATTCAGAAGTTGGATGTATGAGACTCGGATTCAAGGAAAAGATCTGGCATGGACCTACAGATTTGGAAGTGATAGCTGAACAAGTGGTAGTTGATGTTACTGGAATAGATGAGTGTGTGGAATGCGATGAAAACCCTGGGGAAAAGCAGTGTTAAGGGCACAGATGGAGGAGGAAAGCTCACAAAGCAGACTGCAAGGCCAGAGAGGTAGAAGGAAATGCCAAAAGACGAGAGACATTCCAGAATTAATGGGTAGCAAGTACCACAATTACATAAGCCCAGCAACCAGGATATCACTGGCGGCTGAGGCAAAAGCAGATTCTGTAGACTGCATTTGTTGAGCAGTAAATCAGGATATGAGCAAGGAGAATAAACATTTTTCAATATATTTAGTTGTTGAGGGAAGGAGAAAGGGTGTCCAAAACTTCCACTTCAAGTTGTGGGCCTTTTAAAAATTGGAATAAATATTCAGCAATTATTCTACAAATGATATGTCATTATTTGTTTAATCTACAAAGTCAGTATGTTGGTATACGGATTTTATAGAGCTTGATGCTCATCACTCCTTTCAGTTTTATAAAAATGTCCTAGGTGCACAACAATAATGTATTTCATTAATAGGAAAACAAATGTGATTAACCATGAATGTACACTCCACTGAAATAAGAGTTTATTCAGTTTCTGGCTTGAAACAAAAATATTAAATTTTTACATTATAATTGTTATTCATATATTTTGAACCTACACACAATATAAGATAGTCAAGCTTTACACTTTTTTCCCTCAAAATAAAAAAACAACTACTAGAGTAAAAAATGTGCTGTTATTGCAGAGTGGGAGCAAACACACCAAACACTTCAAATCTGAAAAAGCGGAAAAATGAATTTTTTCTTCCTTTCCTTTTTTTTTTCGGGGGGGGGGGGCTGTCTTGTACTGCTTTTTACCTTCTCCAGTTCCACAATCTGCTGCTTCTGCTCTTCATCCAGACTCTGAGTTTTGCTTTGCAAAAAAGCTCTTTCCTCTTCAAGCTGAGATAATCTCTCATTGGCCCTTGATTTTTCTGATTCTAGATCTTTAATTGTAACCTCCTGGGTTATCTGAGTTGCTTGAAGCATTCCAATATGACCTATTACCCAAAAAGAAAATCCCTTCATTTAAAAAATATGTTGTATTGTGGTATAATACAATTTATATTTAATGACACAACTGAACTTAATAACTAAGTAAAATAAATGGTCTGTAGGAACAAACAGTTCTTTGGTGTCCTCACCATATAACATAGGAATATTTACCCTAGGAGTACTTCTTATACAAGTAGAAAAACTCAAATCAGAAAATCCATTTTCACATCATTGCATTGCTGCCTGCACTTGGAACCATCCCACTTTGTTTTGATTAAGATTGCTATACAAGCTGAAGTAGAAGCAACTTTTCAGGGGTGAGTATACAGGTCTCCTGGGAGAAAAACAAGGTAAGAGAGAATGCACTAACTCTGTGACATTTTGGTCATGGAGCCAAAGATGAATAATTTGTTCTTTCCTAATCTCTTCTTTTTTCAAATTCTAACATAAAGAGGAAGAAATATGTATGTAGGGAACAAAGGCAGTTGAAACAGAATTTGTTTTAGACAAGAGACCTGATAAGTAAGAGACAGATAAGGACCACAAGGTTATGAAAGAATAAAATGAATAACAAAAGCAAACAGAAAGGTGGGAGGGAAGGGTCATGAGGAAAGAGAGACAGAGAGACCCAAAGAGATGAAAAGTGTGAGAAAAGGTCTTACAGAAAGCATGCTTTAGGGCAGTGGTTCTCAAAATGTAGTTCCTCAATCAGAAACATCTGTATCAGCTAACTCTAGTTAGAAATGCAAATTCTCAACATACCGCAGAATTACTCAATCAGAAACTCCGAGGATGGGGCCCAGCAATCTGTATTTTTACAAGCCCTACAGGTGATTCTGATGCAGTTAAAGTATGAGAACCACTACTTTAGGGGAGGAGCCTCCAGGTGGTGCAAATGGTTAAGTGCTCAACTACTAGCCGAAAGGTTGGTGGTCTGAACTCACCCAGAGGTATCTCAGAAGACAGGCCTGGTGATCTGCTTCCTAAAGGTTATAGTCTTAAAAACCCTATGGAGCAGTTCTATTCTGCACACATGGGGTTGCCATGAGTCAGAATCAACTCGACACCAATTAACAGCAACTTAGAAAGAGAAATGGTTTGTCATCCAGTTGATTCTGACTCATAGTGACCCTATAGGATGGAGCAGAACTACCCCAAAGGGTTTCCAAGGAGCAGGTGGTGGATTCAAACTGCCAACCTTTTGGTTAGCAGTGGTAGCTCTGAACCAATGCGCCACCAGGGCTCCACAACTTTAGGGGAAGGGAAATCTGGTATTCACTGATGAGCCAATCAAAATCAAATGATACCCTTAAGCAATCAGTTCAAACAGCTTCACCTGGAACACTAGACAACCAACCAAAATGTGACTTCGGAACTGACATGGGGCACACGCCTCCTCTAGTAAAGACTAAGTAATGAGCACATCAGTCACATCAGGATAGGCAACTCAGCTTTAGTACGCAAAAATATCCTTAAGAATCAGCACAATGGAATGAGGTGCTGCAATTTACATATAGTTCCCTGATTTAAATACTTTAAAATTTATTATTTAAAGGCCAAAGTCTCTTAGAGTGCTTCATTTATCTTTTGGTGACTGATTTATTGGTGGTTCTATCTGCTAGATCTTAATTTTTCTATTAAAAATATATTCCTAAAAATAATTTATTATTTACTCATGATAAATTAACAAGATAACAGAATGCTTTAAAATATTTAAAGTCTAAATAATTTAAAAACATGAGAAAAAAGATGAACTTTGTCTAGAACTGACAAATTCAAGTATTGGTCTCAGCTGGGGAATATACCAAGAATTGTGGTCAGACATACTAGCTTTGAGGACAAGATCTGAAGCTTGCTGTTGTAAACGTTCTCTGGCAGCTGCTAGCTCACTTTCCACCTCCTTGTGCTTGCTTAATAGGGCCATTTCTCCCTCCTTGGTATCATCAAGCTGTTTTTGGAGAACCTAAGAAAAACCAAATAGCCACTGTTAATACGCAAGAAGATAAATAATTCATTTAAATCACAATCATAAGGTAGAGTAAGATGGTGGTGTAAGCAGCCGAATCCCTCAACTATTATAGAAGAAAAAAACCAAATACTGAAAAAATCGATCATCTCAGAACTCCAGACATCAGATAAAAGATTGAAAGACCAAAGGGAACACTGAACCAAGTAAAAGGTAACATACTGACCATGGGAGAACAGAGGTTTACAGAGCACCCTCACCCCACTCTCCTCACAGTGAGGCCATCCTGGGTTGGTGGCAACCAGTACAGAGTGCAGTGAGGCCCAGAGTTTGCAAACAGCCAGCCCTCAGTGAAGGCACCATGGGCAGGGAAGCTTAAGAAAGCAGACCCAAGAAGGAGTGCCTTGGTACACTGCAAGTCTGGGACTGCATCACTATCAGGAGGGAGCGGCATGCGGCACAACTACGAGATCCATAGCTGGCAAACAGCCAGGCTTCGGTGAAGGCACTCTGGGCAGAAAAGCCTGAGAATGCATACCTAAGAAAGGACACCTTGATATCTCACTCCCCAAGATGGCAATGTAAGCAGAAATATGGCTCAATTCCCCTGCAACAATTATAGGAAAAAAACAGCCAAATAGTACCAAAAAGGAGAAAGAAATGCAAATGTTAAACCCTCAAAACTAATCCAAAAGTTAAAGCAACAAGTCATGTACTGAAGGAGGAACAAAGCAGTTGACAAGAGAAACCTACACAGAAGCCGATTTTGGGAAATGAGAAAAATCTGAAATCCAAATTACCTCAACAAAGTACTCAAATGCTTCAGCTTCAACAAAAAATTGGAAAGTGGCATGGATTGAATTGTGTCCCCCCAAAAATGTGTTTATCAATTTGGCTAGGCCATGATTCCCAGTGTTGTGTAGTTGTCCTCCATTTTGTGATTGTAATTTTACATTAAAAAGGATTAGGGTGGAATTGTAACACCATCCTAACCCAGGTCACATCCCTGATCCAATGTAAAGGGAGTCTCCCTGGGGTGTGGCCTGCACCACCTTTTATCTCTTGTAGGAGATAAAAGGAAAGGGAAGCAAGCAGAGAATTGGGGACCTCATACCACCAAGAAACCAATGCCAGTAGCAGAGCACGTCCTTTGGACCTGGGGTCCCTGTGCGGAAAAGCTCCAAGTCCGGGAGAACACTGATGAGAAGAAGGCTGACAGAGAGAGAAAGCCTTCCCCTGGAGCTGATGCCCTGAATTTGGACTTGTAGCCTACTGGACTGTGAGAAAATAAAGTTCTCCTTATTAAAACCATCCATTTGTGATATTTCTATTAGAGCAGCACTAGATGAGTAAGACAGAAAGCATACAAGAAATCAAGAAAAGATGGCCCAATTCAAAGAGCAGTATGAAGTTGCAGAAATCACTTCCATGGAAGTAAGGATAATAGAAAAAATAGAGAACTTTCAAACAACAAATTTAAATACGCTCAAAGAACTCAAAGATCACACAAATAAATTAATGCAAATCAAAAAACAATATGAGAATCTTAATAAAGAGATAGAAAACATAAAAAGAAACAAACAGAAATACTGGAATTGAGGAATAAAATAATACAACTGGAAAATGCAAGGGAGGGATACACCAATAGAGCTTACCAGGTAGAAGAAAGAGTAAGTGAGATAGAAGACAAAACAACTGACATTACTGAATCCTAAGGGAAACACGGGGAAAAAATACACAAACAAAACCGAACAAAGCCAAATGGAACTATGGCACACCAGCAAGAGAACCAATGTACGTATTATGGGAATTCCAGAAGGTGAGGAAACAAGGAACAGAAAGAATATTTGAGGAAATTGTGGCAGAAAACTTCCCAGACATGAGTAAGGAAATGAGCTTGCAAATCCAGGAAACTTGGTGAACTGCAAAAAGAGTGAATCCAAGACATATTATAAGCAAACTCCTGAAAGACCAAAGACAAGGAAAGAATCTTGAAAGCAGCAAGAGAAAAATACAAAATAACATACAAGGGGTCCTCAATGTGAGTCAGACTCAATTCAATGTCAGAGAGTTTGGTTTGGTTTTGGTTTCAATAAAATTAAATGCTGACTTCTCCACAGAAACCACGGAGGCCAGAAGGCAATGAAAAGATTACTGATAGAAAATAATTGTCAACTTTTATCCAGCAAAACTAACCTCTGAAAATGAGGGTGAATTCAAGACATTTCCAGATAGGCAAAAGTGGAAATTTGTTACCACCAGACCTGCTTTGCAAGAACTGCTAAAGGGTGTCCCTCAAGTGGAAAGGAACGAACACTAGACAACCATCTGATGCAGTACATGGGGGGGAAAATTTAAAAATAAAGGCAAGTCCTCCAATAAAGGTAATGGCACGGGCAAATGGAAAGGCCTGTTGCAGGGCATTTTCAGTGGGTAATTTAGTTGTTATGTGCTACAAGCCTCATATCAAATGTATAAGAAATAAGTACAAAGTTATCCTAACAGACCAGAATGTATGATGTGAAAAGTGACATAATACCAGAGACGGGGAGAGAGCAGAGAATTAGGATTATAATGTAAGTATTTTAATATTGCATGTTACTTGCTGTTTGTTTACTTGTTGGTATCAACGTTAAATAGGTGTTGTAAATATAGGGTCTCAAATGTAATTTTATGGAAACCACTAGAAAGTACTTCAAAAATATACACAGAAGGCTGGAAGAAAGAAACCAAACAGACCCAACACAAGAAAGAAACTTAATACAAACAAAGACAAAACTGTAAAAAAGGTAGGACAAAGAAATTATAAGACACACACACACACAAACACACAAAGTAACAAAATGACAGAAGTAAATTCTTCCTTCTCAATAATTACCTTAAACGTAAATGGCTTAAACTCTCCAGGCAAAAGGCAGAGAGTGGCAGAATGGATAAGAAAACATGACCCATCCGTAAGTTGTCTACAAGAGGTACATCTTAGGTCCAAGGATACCAATGAACTGAAAGTGAAAGGATGGAAAAGAATATTCCATGCAAATAGTAACCGAAAGAGAGCAGGAGTGGCTATATTGATATCAGACAAAATAGAATTTAAATCAAAATCTATTATAAGAGATTAAGAAGGACATTATATATTAATAAAAGGAATAATCCAGCAAGAAAATGTAACAGTCATAAATATATATGCACCCAACATCAATGCACCAAAATATATAAAGCAAATACTGACAGAACTGAAAGGAGCTATAGACAATTCCACAATAATAGTAGGAGACTTAAATACACCACTGCAAATACTGGATTGAACCTCCAGAAAGAAGATCAGTAAGGAGATAGAGTACTTGAACAAATACCATATATAAACTAGATCTAATAGATATATATAGAACCTTCCACTCAACATCAGAACAATACACTTTTTTTCTAGTGCACATGAGACACTCTCCAGGACAGACCATATAAGAGGTCATGAAACAAGCCCTGACCAGTTTTAAAAGACTGAAATAATACAAAGTACCTTCTCCAACCCCAAAAGAATACTAGAAACTAATACAAGGAAAATAGATAACACATAAATATGCAGAAACTAAGTAACACACTATAAACTAAGTTTACCTAGTTTTAAGTCTGTAACTATTGATGACACAATATGATTATTATAAATCATGACCCAATCATGAAAGGCTATTTATGCTTTCTAATCCATTCTAATGCTACACAGATATTAAAAACAAAACTATAAAATTTTCTACTCCAATAAAACAAAACTTGAAGAGACTTTTTGGCTGTTTTTCAGACTTATGCTATACCTCTATTTAATTCAGGTTTGTAAAACAATCTTAATTTTTTGTTCAGTGTCTAGCAACTGATGAGTAGACAATTATTAATGAGGGAAAGAAAAAACATAACTAAAGTCTAAGCCCAATATTTTAACCGTCCCAAACCACTTATGGAAAAAACAACATGTTATTTTAACAAAATCCTTTCATAAACAAGCAGCAACATTTTATCTTTTGGGATGTTAATATCTGAAATTCTAGTATGAAACAATAGCTACAGGGTAATAAAAATGATCCCTTCATTGATTTTCTCACAAAAGGAAAAGCAGGAAAAAGTAACATAGAAAAAAAAAATGTTTAAAGTGGTCTGAATGAAAAGCTGATCCTAAGCCAGCCAGACTACTCTTCAGTCTACAAAATGAACATATTTAAAGAAGAAAATTGGAAGAAAAAAAAATCTATGTGTTGAATGTAATATTCTTTACTTACCTGAACGTTGTTCTCTGCTGTAGCAAGTGCCAGCTGTAGCTTTTGGCATTTGTCATGAAGACTTCCAGCTTCATCCTGTACCATCTGTAATTCTGTCTTTAATTTTCCTATGGTTTTTCGTAAAATTGCTTCTTGCCCCTGAAATTCTTTTCTAAGATTGGCTTCCTTTTCTTTGCTAGCCTGTAGGCTTTCTGCTGTAAAAAGCTGTGACCTTTTCAAAGTATCAAGCTCATGTTCATAAAAGGACTGAGCTTTATTCAACTTGCCTTCATAATCCTCAATTAGTTTTTTTCGTTCAAGTCTTAGCTCTTCAAGTGTTTTGTTTAAGGCCTCCACCTCCATTCTGTGTAGCTCCTCTACCTTTTCCTGCCCTTTATTTACTGAGGCACTATGATCCTGCTGAGACTTCAACAGCTCTTGGATCTCCTGTCTGTGAGCAGTTCGCAAATCTTCCAGTGCCGATCGTTTATCTTTTTCAAACTGTACTTGGAGTTGTCCAAAGCTCCGTAACTTTTCCTCAAATTTCCTTCTAATCTCTTCAACTTCTCTAGACATGGTTACTATGCGTTGGACGTGCTGGGCTTCTGCACAAAGCTGCATGTCCTCCACTCTCTGCTTATAAGCTTCAAATTCTGTCAAAGCCTGCTGCTTCATTTTTATGTGATCTGCTAATGAGGCTTCTAAAGCTTGAATTTTTCTTTTAAGGTCTAACTCCTCTGTTACTTTGCTTTTATACTGCAATATTTTTTCTCTTGTTTCTGCAAGAATTTGTTGGATTTCTTCTTCATGAGCATCTCTGAGGGCTTGAATTGCAGATTCATGTTCATCGTTTTTAGTGTTCAAAGCATATATTACCTGCATGGTTTTAAAGAAGGTGGAAGAATTGAGTAAGTCATATTCTTTTCTAACCTGAAGCTAATTCTTTCATTCGGATTGATATTTTTCTATGCACATAATACTGGCTAGAGTAAATGTTAAATACTGAAACTTCATGTAATTATTTTTTACTCATAGACTGATTTGCTTAGCAAATTTTTAGCTTAGCACAATCTTATGAAGGTTTGCATTTGAAGAATTTTTTTTATTGTAATCTAGATGAAGGTTTACAGAATAGTTTCTCATTAAAGAATTAGTACAACATACTGTTTTATGACAATGGTTAACAACCCCACAACATGTCAACACTGTCCCTTCTTAACCTTGGGTTCCCTATTACCAGCTTTCCTGTCCCCTCCTGCCTTCTGGTCCTTGTCCCTGGACTGTTGTGCCTCATTAGTCTCGTTTTGTTTTATGGGGCTGTCTAATCTTTGGCTGAACTGTCAACCTCGGGAGTGACTTCATTACTGAGCTAAAAGGGTGTCTGGGGACCACACTCTCAGGGTTTCTCCAGTCTCCGTTACGCCAGTAAATCTGGTCTTTTTTTGTGAGTTAGAATTTTGTTCTACATTTTTATCCAGCTCTGTCCAGGACCCTCTATTGTGATCCCAGTCAGAGCAGTCAGTGGTGGTAGCCAAGCATCATCTAGCTGTACTGGACTCAGTGTGGTGGAGGCCATGGTAGTTGTGGTCCATTAGTCCTTTGGACTAATCTTTTCCTTGTATCTTGTTTTCTTCATTCTCTCTTGTTCCTGAAGGGTTGAGACCAATGGAGTATCTTAGATGGCTGCCAACAGGCTTTTAAGACCCCAGACGCTACTCACCAAGGTAGAATGTAGAATATTTTCTTTATAAACTGTGGTATGCCAATTCAGCTAGATGTTCCCTGAGACTATGGTCCCCACAGCCCTCTGCCCAGCAATTCAGTCCCTCAGGGAGTTTGGATGTGTCTATGGAGCTTTTATGAGCTTTCCTTGTACAAGTTGTGCTGGCTTTCCCAGTACTGTGTACTGTCTTACCCTGTATTTGAAGAACTTTTAATTGTGACTTTAAAGCATTCAAAATAGTGTTTTACTATAAATGAGATGGTGAGGAGGAAAGGGACAAAGGAGGTAACCTGGCCTAGAAGAAAGGAGTTCTCTGTGTGGACCAGTCTAGCTTACTGGGGGGAAACGTCTTATAGTAGTCTCTAACCTATACTGATGTCCTTGAAGTAAGAGAGATTTTGCACAAGTGGAAACTCTAGGCCCTAAGTCTCACCAAAGCTCCTCTTTCATCTATTTAATGTCTTGTACATTTTAAATTTTGAAATTTCCTTTTCTAATTCCCCTATGACCTGTTTTTAAAGCTGATACTCTTCTCTCCTAAGTTCCTACTGGTTTCCATACAAAAACAAATTAATACTTTTTTGCTCACATATCAAATGCTGTAGTTTTACTTACTGCCTCATTTTCTCTCTGCCTCCAACCAGCCTAGTTTCTAGAGACAGAGTGTTCCAGACACAGATCTTTATTTTCTTTTAATTCCTTGGGTTTTAATGATTCCATTAAGATTTCAGCAACGTTAGGTCCAAATGACAAAATAGTCCCTGTATAATAATGCTCCCATTCTTCTGATATATTCCTTGATACCAGTCACCACACCTTTTAATCAAACAGTACAATATTCATGACTGTTACTTAAAGCTTAGAGACGTGCCTGTTTTCTTTCTCTTGCAATAAAAAGGAAGAAATGCTAGGGTAGTGAACACTATACAATCCAACAATCCAAAAGCTAAAAATCAGCATCCTGGAGCTTTGCTCCTTTTAATGTGATCTTTTATTGGCTTTAGAAATGAATGCCAGCACCAGAGTCCACAAAGTGTGATTAAGATGCAAAAGTGTTGCCATTGTTGTAGAGTTTTCACATGGCCTGAGGCAGGCTGCCTGGCTCTCCAAATATCCCTGGTAATTCCAGATCTTACTTGCTAAATGCAGGCTGACAGCCTCTAGGTCTGCGCTGCACTTGCAGAAGGAGGAAGACACAGTGGAGGCCTATCCTTGAGGAAGGAGGAAGACACAGTGGAGGCCTATCCTACTGCAGGGACTTCACTCTTTCTCTATACAGGGCTTTGTTTTCCAGACCCAGTAGATGCAATTATACCAAAGGCATATAGATTGAAAAATGGCAATAACCCATCTGTCTTGCCACAGTTACCCTTTTTCCTGCGAGGTCCACAAGGAAAATATGTGCACAAAGGGAAATAAATTCTTATTTACTGTCTGTCTCTTTCTCTCTAACCCTAAATTCCAAATCCCAATTTATCTCTCTAATGAGCTAACACAGATTCCATGGAGGACTCCTTTTATCTAGTCTAGGGGCAAGCTTAAGAGTAGCCTTGACCCAAGAAAGTTGAGTGGTTTCCTTTTCGCTTCCCTGGGAGCCATACCAGGCTACCATGACAATGGTGAGAAAAGACTGAAGGGGCACTAAAGAAAAAGAAGCCAACCAGCCAGAGAGAAATCCAGTTGTCACAGTACCTAAAGCAGAGCTGGTCTAAGCCACAGGCAAAAGGCTTTCCCAGAGCAGGTCAGCACCCATCCCCTACTTTATTTTACTAACCACATGGAAGAAGAGATAATCCAAAGAAATAGAATTCCAAGAAGGGAACAAGTCACACTGTTAGTATTTTGCTCCAGGACATGATCTTGAAAAGGACAAGTTCACTGTGATTCTATATGTTTGGGGATAAAAACAGGGAGGGGGACTCTAGTATTTAATTTGCCTTCAGTCTTTGAAGAGTCGGCACAAGATCTGCCTCCTCTAAGAAGCCTCCCAAAACCACCCAAATCCACGGGAGTCTATTTTTTCATTTATCTCCACCACCTCAATTACCTTACCATCCACTTACTCCTGAAACTCAGTAAATGTTTGATTAATGAAATTTGGGAATGGATTTTACAAAAAGGTTGAAAGATATGAAGAAATGTGAGGATGTGAGAAAGCCTAGAAAAAAAGCTGAGGGTATAAAAGCACATTAGCACAAAAATATGCAAATAAAAGAAGAATTAAAGTATTAAGTTAGAAAGAATAGAATTTAAGCAAAGTAAAATATCTGATAAATAATAGGGAAATACTATGGTGAGGAGCTCTATTTTACTTTATATTCTAATCCAAAGGTCAGTAAACTACAGCCTGGCTCCTGCTTGTCATTGTAAATAAAGTTTTATTGGAGACAGAGACACATATTCATTTATTTATTGTCTGTGATTGTGAGGAAGGGCAGTGTTTTGTTCTGTTGTACACAGGGTCGCTGTAAGTTAGACCTGACTCTATGGCACCTAACAACAACTTTCCTACTACAACAGCAGAGCTAAGTTGTTGTTGTTAGGTGCTGTCAAGTCGATTCCAACTCATAACAACCCTATATACAACAGAACGAAGCACTGCACTGTCCTGAGCCATCCTCACAATCGTTATTATGCATAAACCCACTGTTGCAGCCGCTGCGTCAATCCATCCTGCTGAGGGTCTTCCTCTTTTTTGCTGACCCTCTACTTTATCGAGCATGATATCCTTTTGCAGGGACTGATCCCTGGAGAGCTGAGGAAAATACCTGCTCTAATCAATATAGACAAGCTATCTTATCAGCCAAACTAGGCAGGGAGGAAAAAAGAGATGAAAGTACTGAATTTGTACTAGTTTTGTTTATTCTCTGCTAACTAATGCACACAGTTCAGAATCATAAGCATCATCATAAATTTAATAACATGTTAGATCTGAAAAGGACATTAGACATTATCTAGTGCCATAGGGTAGTAGTGAAGAGAACTCTTGGCTTCAAATTGTTCCTTCACTTTCTAGCTGTGGGATCTTGGGCAAGTTACTTAACCTATCTGCATCTCAGCTTCCTCATTTGTAAAATGGGGATAATAATAACAGGGTCCACTGAAAACGGCAGTTGTGAGAATTAAGTGATTTAACACATGTAAAGCACTTAGAACAGCCTGACATATGGTAAGTATTCAATAAGAGTATTATTATCATCATCTTCATCTTAACACTGTTGCCTGATGCGGGTCTGTGGCCTGGAGCAGTCGAGCCAATGAAACATACTCCAAGTCAGAAAGAGAGAGAAAGTTTATTTAGGAGGTGATCACCAACAGGGAATCTAACGGCAACGCAGACTGTCTCTATGGAGTTCCAAAAGGCAATTTTACATTACAGCTTATACACGATTTTTACAAGGGTTAGAACTGTCTTTGTAGCATGTAGCCTGCAGCTGGCATGGCCAGATGAGTTATGCATTACAAGATAATTACAAGAGACTCTTTATTAGACTAAAGAGATACATGCCGGACACCTCCTTATCAGGCTAAAGACATACATGCTAGACATCTGGGCTCTAATCTCCATACGGGGGGTGGATAGTCACAGGGGGCCGGACAGAGCAAAACAAATTCATTAACAAAGATATGCAGAAAGGAGAAGGCAGGCAGAAAAAAAATTATAGGTTTATCATGGCGTTAGTTATGTCAAGTTCTCAATGACCCATTTTGAAAAGGAGAAAACATGCTGTGCAGTATTAGGGTCACAACGCAATGAACTAAATATGACATGGGATGCTAAATACTGTATCCAAGGTCATATTATGGCAACAAGTAGCAAAATTAAGACCACAACCTAGGTCTTCAGTTTCAGCCCAGAGCTCGTTCCGTTACAACTCATACACTGAGAAAACAAATGATATGATTCTGAAAGTATATTATATAAATGAAATACACAGTCATATTGATCATATGTTGGTATCTCCCAGTTTAAAACTGTTACAACAAATTTCTATAAACTTAAGAAGGAAAAATAAAAGGATGCCAAGTATAGTAACAAAGTAATAGTGCTCTCATAAATGATCACCTGAAATATATCACTATTAAATTATATTATTTTTAAATGAGAATGCTACATATGAATTTTCAAGTAGACCTTAACTAGATATAGTAT